GAGGAATCACTATGGCTTGAGTAGTTCATGAGGTCAAGAAAACATTTTATTGTTTTATATATCTTAGTTTGGGGGAACCTTAAGCAAGTTTAAATTCTGATGTGACGAGATCATATGGAACTTTTTAAATTACATTTCTTGTAACTTGAAGATTTATGTTATTGAGTGGCAATAACAATGTCATATTATATGAATATTACAGTGTCACATTATACCATCTGAGAGATTCTTAGATTAGAAAGCGAACGTATGGTTAAATTGATGAAGATATAAAAATTAGACAATAATAGAAATAATCCAATGTCAGATTTTACTTAGTACTTACAGGACCCACTGCAAAGATCTAACCTATTTCCTAAAATTTTAAGGTCCCATGTGTTGAACTAATAAGGGTGGAATGTGATAGGAAGAATTTTAAATAATGAACCTCAGCATAAAAATCATTAGTGTTCTGATGTGAAAACTCCTTTTCAAATCCTGAGGTCAAAGGTTAAGGACAACTCAATCCTGAGATCAGGAAATGATTTATGAGGAAATGTGCACGCACTGTGACAATGGCTTTATGGGGAGAAAAATCAAGTCAAATCTCTGACAGATCAACCAGCCTTCAAAGAAAGTGACTTATTTTCAGTTATAATATAAAGAAACTCAAAGCATAAGAAATGTAAGGGGAAAAACTTTAGGATTGAACATGAACTCTGAAAAGAAATAGTTTGAAAGCCAATTTCTAGCTCTCTGTTCTTTTAAGATTTATTCTTTCGAATTACTTTTAACATTTTCAGAAAAGCCCATATTATAGCCAATATTTATTAGGGTAACTAGATTACATAAAAGGAGGTGCTGCCTGACAGGTGTGGCTCAGTGGTTGAGCATCAACCTATGAAACAGGAGGTCATGGTTGGATTTCCAGTAGGAGGTGTATAGGAGGCAGCTGATCAATAATTCTCTCTCATCATTGATGTTTCTATCTCTCCCTCCCCCTCCCTTCCTCTCTGAAATCAATAAAAACATATTTTAAAAAGTAAATAAAATAAAAGACGGTGCTATCTTAACAGTAATTAGCTTTTAGACTGTTAGTACTGTCAAATTCTATGTCCTATTCATGTTATATCTATGGTCTCAACCAAACTCTAAAAATGTATTATTCTATTTTTTTCCCTATTTGTGCTAATATTTCACCCAAAAGAAATTGGGTAACTTGAAAAAAAAAGTATATTGAAGTATTATCTTGATAACATTTCCCAGGTATAAAACTCTTAGTGAGGTGTAAAATTTTCTGCCCTAGGTATGTTATATGCCTTGTAAGAGATGAACATAAAGATGTGAATGGATCCTTTATCCCTAATCTCCTTTAAACCAGTCTGGAGCTACTCTTCAGGGCAGTCTCTAATATCTTGGCTTTTAGACCTTATTCATGAAATCTGGTACCAGACAAGAAATATCAGATCTCAATGGGGCAGTTTTAATCTATTTGGCAATTGATACACCCGACTTGATTCTCCTTAGTTCCCTGAGAACCAATAATAATACGTTCATTCTAGATTTTTAAATGCATCCTGCAGAGCATTTTGTGACTTTTCTATTCAATGTGTTAATCTGTGGAAGAATTCTGCTGCTCTTGTTGCATATGCCTGAACCTACATTCCTAAAATATATGCTGGGAAATGACCATACACTAGGGTTATAATATATAAACTTATGAAAAGCAAACATATGGTACTGAGAAAATTCTATTAGTTTTAAAAATTTAAGGAGAAAGTTGTAAAGTATGATGAAAATAACCATATCGTGTAGACAGATATTGTAGATAACAGAGGACACACATATTTTCAATGAATTTAAATTTAAAACTTGTCTGTAGTTTTTTGGGATATCTATGTACACAAACAAATTTTTAAAAATAATGTGTTATACATTTTCCTTATCTAACTCTAATGGACTTCATTTATTTTTCCCTTGTTATATTACACTGGCAAGGCCCTCCAGAAAACTGTTGAATAAAAGCAGTATGAGTGGATTTCATTTTCAAACTCAAGGAGAAAGGGTTTCCATTAAATATGATGCTTTCTATCTAAATGAATTAGGTGGCTTTATATGACTAAAATGTGCACCTTAATTAAAGCCAACTTACTTATGATGCATTATCAACTATATATTTGAGACTTTTTTATATATACACTAGAGGCCCAGTGCATGAAATTCATGCATAGGTAGGGCCAATCTGTGGGGCGAATTGCAGGGCGATAGGGGGAGTGGGGGAGACCCTGCTGGCACCCGCCTTGGCTGGCCTGGGGCTGCGGGCTGGGGGCAGCTCCTGCATTGAGCGTCTGCCCCCTGGTGGTCAGTGTGCATCATAGCAACTGGTCATTCCACTGTTTGGTAAATTTGCATATTAGGCTTTTATTATATAGGATATCTTTTTTCATGTACATTTCTGTATTTTATTGCTAATATTTGGTTTAGGATGTTAGCAAATATATTTAGGACAGATAATGACCATTAATTTTCCTTCCTTGTAACAACCCTTTTAGGTTTTGCATCCATGTTATATTTGACTCATTTAATGAATTGGGGACAAGTTCTCTTTTTCTGTTCTTTGGCAAGTTCTAAGAAAGGGATTTTTGTTTGCTTTGTTGTTACTGTTTATTTCTTTGGTTTTATTATGATGTGTAGTTTTTTCATTTTATCTTGGAATTTGTGTCTTTAATACATTTTTTACAACTTTTGATCATTCTTTCTTCAAATGACATTTGCCTCATCATGCTTCTCCCCTACTTTTACAGTTATAATTATATGAATATTATAATTTCATACCATGTTTATGTTTCTGAAAATACTTTTTTAGCTTTTTATCTCAATATTTTAGTTTAAATATTTTTAAATCACTTTGTCTTCTTCATATGCATCCAGACTGCAAATTCATTCATCTTCCAAAAGTTATAGCATTATATTTTCTTATTTATTTCCATTCGATTTTTTCATATAACATAATGTGCTGTGAAAATCTTCAGCTTGTCACCTATACTAAAATATATTAATGACAGTTATTTTCACATCTATTAAGTAAGTAATTATGACCCATCCAGAAATTCCTGCAGCACCTGGGAGCCTGTTTATATTCTCTGTCATTCTCCCTAGGTCCTGTTTCTTTATAGGCCTGCTATTCTTTTTCTTTAATGGCAAGCATCATATATGTGCAAAAGAAATCATACAGTCCGGATGAGGTTATCTTTTCCTAAAAAGAATGTATTTAGACTGTTTTCTGATATTTAGATTAGAAAAGTACCTCATTGCAATTAGAGATTTTACTGATTTAAATCTAAGTTTCAGTCTCTGTATTATCTTATCTTTTTCCAGTTTCCTTAACCTCTAGGATACAGCCCTTAGGAAGTCTAGGTGTGAGCCTGTGTATTTATCACAGTCCCTTTTCCCTGTTGATCCTTAAATTCAGATGTTTATTTTTCAAGCTCTGCTTAACTCCTCCGCTTTCTATAAGCCATTTTCTGCTGTCTAGCATGGCTTAGGAATCAGCAATTACCTCCAGAGAAAACATGGTTCCCCATGACAGCCTTACCTAATCTTCCCTCCTTTATGCCCCCCCCCCCCACCTTTACCTTTCTGGCTAACTTTGGAAAGCACAATTCCAATAATCATTATTTCCTCCAAACCTCATGACACTAACAAAAGTTGTGCTTAGCTGCTACATTATATTGGGCTTCTCATACTCTCACCCTATGCTGCTTATAATTAGTAAATACTTAGGGGACGGGGCCAGCACAGACTAATGAGCTGACTTCCATGAATACGCCTTTACTAGAGGATCTTGGCCCTTCATTGCATAGCTGCTTTAGTAGCTATTATTAAACACAAATAATTATTTTGATATTTTATGTAACTTTGTTTCTGGTGTTCTTGGTGAAGGATCTAGTCAGCTACAAGTTATTGCATTGTAATTGGAAGCAGAATATTCCATATTACCCTCTATCTTGAAATAAGCCATTTCATTATTATTCATTACTCTTGATGGTTGTGGTGGGCACATCATACATTTAAGGATACTGAAATGTCTTCATCACAGAACAGTCTATTATATTAATAGATGTAGTAGCCATATTTAAGTATCATGGACTTTTTGAAATCCTGAAGTTTGTTACTTATGATTAAAACATAAGTAACTGAAGTAATACATTCTGTATTATTGCATATTTTTGTTTAACCAGTTAGGTACAGAATATGAAACAGTAATTTATAATTTATTGTTAATCTTTTATGAACCATATTTCATAATTTCTCATAATAAAATTCACCTATTTTGTCAAGTAACATTTACCATACCTCACAAGAATCATAATTTAAAATAGTATAAGATGATCTACTTCAATATCAAATGGAATAAAGTAACATCGTAATAGTAATTAATTTTAGACTAGGCATGTTTGTATTTTACTATGTCTGGGACTTTTTCAGGTTTACTAACTTTATGTTATTATAAATACAGATAACCTATCTTTTACGTTTTTTTAAAGACAAAAAGGCATATAATTTATAATTTATTTACTGCTTCCTGAAGAAAACATTTAACCCAAAATAGATTTTTTTATTGTTGTTTTGTTAATCTTCACCAGAAGATAATTTTCCATTGATTTTTAGGGAGAGTAGAAGAGAGAGGGAAAGACAGAGAGAAACATCGATGTGAGAGAAGCATATCGATTGGTTGCCTCCTGCAAGAGCCCTGATCAGGGACCAGGCCGGGGAGGAGCCTGCAACCAAAGTATGGGCCCCTGACAGGAATCGAACCCGGGACCCTTTGGTCCTCAGGCCAACACTCTATCCACTAAGCCAAACCGGCTAGGGTCAAAAGGAATTTTTCTAACATATTAATAATGAAGAAGATAAAGAGAGAGTCATTGATTTTCTTTGTACATTTTTAAAACTCTGAATGTAGTTCTGGACAATTTGTGGGCCTTATAAACACCAACAATTTTGTGTGTGGTTTGCAGGCTGTCAGCAACTAGCCATTCATTGACAACTCAAAGTGATTTGGACTCCAGCAGCTCTGAAGAATTCTATCAGGCTGTTCACCATGCTGAGCAAACCTTCAGGAAAATGGAAAGTTACTTGAAACAACAGCAGCTCTGTGATGTTATCCTGATTGTAGGGAACCGCAAGATACCTGCACACAGGTACAGTAATCTGTCTTTATTGGAAACATGTATTTATGCGTTTAAAAATGATAGTCTGGTAGATAGATTACAAACTTCATGATTAGAGAATTAAGAATTCATATTTCTAAGAAAGCTTGGGTATTTTTCTTTTGTTTTTATTTATTTCTTTCAGTAATCTTTTAAAAAAATAAAAGCAAATATAAGCAGTTCAAAAATACAACTTTTGCCCTAGCGGGTTTGGCTCAGTGGATAGAGCATCAGCCTGCAGCCTGCAGACCAAAGGGTCCTGGCAATTGATGTGTTTCTCTCACATTGATGTTTCTCTCTGTCTTTCCCTCACTCTTCCACTCTCCCTAAAACTCAATGGAAAAATATCCTAGGGTGAGTATTAACAACAACAAAAATACAACTTCCTTTAACCGGTTGATAAATGCTCTCTTTTATATGATTCACAATTATATTAAGTGGAAATTAATCTTAATGTAGTATATATTTCTAAGATCTGAAATGAGATATGCTTTTCTGATTGACTTTTTGAAAGGAAGTAAGATTGCCTTGGGTACATATTATTTGTTTCAATTAGGAAATTCAAAGTATTTCATATTGGGCTTTTATTATATAGGCTAATTGATTATTTCAAGTTTCATGAACTAGACATCTGATTATGTTGTGCCATATTGATTTGCTATCAGTTTACCTATTAAAATTCATTACATTTGATGTTGGTATTTTACTGAAAAAATAATTTTAGTTTAATATTGATACTGATTATTTTAGGTAGTTGAATATATAGACAAAGAGCCTTAGATAACCTTGACATATCATTTAATACTATTCATACTAATGAATACTATTCATACTAATGAATTAATAGAAAAGGTAAATTACGTACATACAAAAATATTTTAGTGTACTTCTCTTCCTTGTGATTTTTAACTTAAGTTGTATTATCTAGATAATATATGCATATAAATGTGGATTATTGAAAGGATTCCTGAAAAAGAAGGCTCTATTTCTACCCCGGTAACAATATTAAAATGTGGACACTAACTTTGAACTAATACACTAAAACTAGATAGGCATAGCATAGGAAGGAACAATTGACATTGAAGAAGTTATATAAATTATGTGGGATTCAATCTGTAAGCAAACTATGGCAATAATATAGTGTTCACAATTATTTTTCAAATATTTTTATGATATCACATTAATAGTCATTATTATTGAGAGATCTAAGTTGCAATATGTGTGGAAAATATGCAGGTTATCCTAAGCTACAACCTAACTAGCATTTAGATAAAAATTATATTATTAAATGTATTCTTAATTTAAGTGTTACTAAATTTTCTTCATTTAACTTATAAGTTAAATTAAATAATTATATATATTTAAGAATATAGGGGTACTCAATCAATTCAAAAGTATATTAGCACATCAAATGCTCATTATTTTTTAAAAGAGAGAGTGTTTAATATAATTCATATAATTTTATCTTATAGTCTTATATTGTTAGTAATATAATATTTGTCATTTGAAGTATTTTTAACCAATACATTGATAAATTCTTCCATATTATATTCTACATTGGTTTCTTTATTACTCTTTTTATCTAGGTTGTTATATTATTTTTAAATAATTTGTTTAATTATACAAGTTGTATTATAATAATTTTGATTATTAGGAAGTAAAATTGCTTCTTGGTTTCGATTACTTTAAAACATCTTAACAATGTATTTCTTTTATACATATTATCAACATTTAAATATTTCATATATTTATCACATATTAAATAAATTGTGTTATTATCAATTATCTACATTTTCTTTAAATGAGGAAAAAAATTAGCCTAAGACTATCTGCTAAATTAATTAAAATAAATAATTATATTTACACCATGCTTTAAAACTTAACACTATTTATTTTACAAGTAATTTACATACTTACTATTCTAAGTTGAATGTGCAAATATTAACAAAGATGTGGGAAATATTTATGGGGCACCTAAAAAAAAAAAGCACTCTTTTCAGTAACAGCAGGTATATTGTACCCCCTTATGTATACTTTTGTACAATGAACTGATTATAATTAATGCAAAATTAGCTTTTTGCCTTAACCAAATAATCATTTAAGTAATAGTAATAAACTAATGGACTCTTAAGTTATTCAATTATATTTTAATTAATGCACAAATTATAATTTTGCCCAAATTGTCTTTGGGAAAAATTATAATTGGTGATGCAATCATTAGCACTGAAAGGTTTTGGTCTATTATAAATTTAAATAAGGAAAAAATAATTTGCATTAAGATCTACTGCTCTTTCAAGAAAGGCACTGCAAGCTGATGTCATAAGCACTCACTAAATAGTCATCCATAAAGATCATGTATATTTAATTTCATATAAATATCTCATCATTCAAAACTTTCAAATACATTTCTATTTAAGTTAATAGATTATGAGCATTGAAGCGCTCTTCATAAAATATTTTATTTGATGCTAGTTATATTGTATATATATTTTTATCTGATGTACATCACAATTATCAATGTATTTATGAAATACTATGTCTATATAGATACATTAGATTATTGTTAGACATATTTAAAAGTAGGTTCACTCTGAAAGGCTAATAATCATAAAAATGGCACATTAATATATTCTTAGAATGAAAAGCAATCATAATTCTGAATTTATTTGTGCTTTAAGTCCTCAGAGAAATTTGAAAATAAATATAGACTTCTCAGACCAGCAGGTGTAGCTCAGTGGTTGAGCATCCACCTATGAACCAGGAGGTCACAATTCGATTCCAGGTTTGGGCACATGCCCAGGTTGTGGGCTCGATCCCCCATAGGGGCCATGTAGGAGATGGCCAATCAATGATTCTCTCTCATCATTGATGTATCTATCTCTCTCTCCCTTTCCCTTCCTTTCTGAAATCAATAAAAATAAATTTAACAAAATAAAATATAGACTTCTCATAAATAACCCAGAATAATTGATTATCAGCAAATGAACAAAACACTTGAATGTAAATTTCTGAGTACTAAATACAGAGGTTATTTTGATAGGTAGGCTGCCTGTAATCAGAGATGTCAGGTTTGAAAATTAGACTGACAAGGTCAATATTAAAAATTGGACTGTTGAATTTTTAAAGGTAAGAGAAGATATTTTTCAGGGCCTACTCTGTTATAATGTAGCTAGAAGCCCAGTGCATGAATTTGGGTGGCCTGGAGGGATTGGGCCGAAACCCGCAGTCCATCTTCTACCTGCCGCTCCCGCTCATCCCAGCCCCACTGCACCTGCTGCAGGCTCGCGCCCAGTCATTCCTGATCGGGAGAGGCTTGCGCTGCCACAGCAGTGCTCACCAGCCATGAGCCCTACGTCTGGCACCCTCCCGAGGGGAGTGGCCTGTGGGATCTGGCTGAAACTGGCTCTCTGACATCCCCCGAGGGATTCCAGGCAAGAGGGTGCAGGCAGGCCAGGCCAAGGGACCCCACTGGTGCACAACTGGGCCAGGGAGGGACCATGGGAGGGCTTCAGGGCATGTCTGGCACCATCTCGTTCAGTCCCAATCAGCTAGACCCCAGCAGCAATCTAAACTACCATTCAAAGCGTCTGCCCCCTGGTAGTCAGTGCAGATCATGGTGACTGGTAGAGCAGTCGACTGTTTGCCTCCTGGTGGTCAGTGCACGTGAGAGTGATTGGTTGAGCGGCCTTAGCCTATCATTAGCATATTATGCTTTGATTGGTTGAACAGTCAATTGGTCACCGGATAACTGGACACTTAGCATATTAGGCTTTTATTATATAGGACTAGAGGCCCGGTGCACGAAATTTATGCACTCAGCAGGGGGGTGGGTCGTTTTGCCCAGCCTGTGCCCTCTCGCAGTCTGGGAGCTCCACAATTGATTGCCCCGCAGAGAGAGGCCCCACCCACTGCCACCAGCTGGGTAGCCTGGGCCTCCCTCTGTGGGGCGTTTGAGGGGAGATGGCAGGGGCCCCCGAACTATCACATTGCACCTGCCCATGGCAGCGGCAGTCAGTGCTGAGTCGCCATAGCGCCCGCAACTCAGGAGGGACTGAGAAGTCAGCAGTTCAGCCAGCTCACCAGTCCCCTCCCACCTGAGCCTGCTGCACGTGCAGCCTGGCGTTTGGATGTCTGTTTGGTCGTTTTGAACGTTATGGACCCTGGCTCTTTATATATTAGACTAGATGGTATACAATGATATAGGATTTAGCTTATGAACATTTGTTTCTCCCTTTAGTCATTATTAAGAGTAAGTGCATTGGAAATATGTGAGAAATTCTTAAATAACTAACATCCTTTGACTTGGAAATAATGTCATTTATAATTTTATGTGCGTAGAAAGAGTGTGAAAGGATATAAAACATACTGTTAACAAAGCTTAATCCTGGGGAGTAGGGCTCCTAGACAGGATAAAGGAGGCACTAACATGTTTTAGAAATGTATAAGCTGGCTATTGTGACTCAGTTGGTTTGGCATTGTCCTTTGTACCCAAAGGTTGCCAGTTCAATTCCAGGGTTGTGGACTTGATCCAGGTACGGGCCATGCAAGAGGCAGCCAGTGTTTTTCTCTTCCCTCCCTCTCCCTCTCCCTCTTGCTAAAAAAAAAGAAAAAAGAAAGAAAGAAAATAAAAGAGATATATAAGCATATACAGGGTGTCCCAAAAAATGTATTCACACTTTGAATAATTAAAAGGCAGTGTTTATCAATATACATTTTATTTTCAAAATGTAATAGAATTAGCTGTTAAAGTATGTACATTTTTTTAACATTTTAAAATGAGCATTATTTTTGTTGTTAATCCTCACTTGAGGATACTTTTTCCATTGATTTTTAGAGAGAATATAAGGGAGGGGAAGAGACACAGAGAGAAACATTGATGTGAAAGAGACACATCGATTGGTTGTTTCCCACACCCACTTGGATGGGACCCAGGACTGAGCCTGCAACTGAGGTACCTGCCCTTGACTGGAATCAGGAATGGAACCTGCAACCCTTCAGTCCACAGGCCGATGCTCAAACCACTGAGCAAACCGGCTAGGACAAGAATGAGAAGTGGCAATTGAAATAATGTATTTAGAAACACTTAAAATATTACATATAGCAAAAAATATTTTATAAGTAAGTTAGATATGAATACTCAGGTGTAGGCAAGTAGGTCTGTTTCTCTGTACTGAGGGAAAGCTTACTTATAAAGACCATATTTGATGGCCGAGGAATAACTCATTTCTTCCATTTTATTAAATGCAACATTCACCCAGGTATCTCAATCAGCTTGATAGTTTATAACTGCTCTGTACCAATTTCAGAAAAACAAAACAAAAAATACTCCATTGGCCCCAGGCAATACCCACAGCTCCAGCAACAACTATAGCTCCCAGATCCCTGTGGTTTTAGTGGTCCCAGGCTCCCAGCACCTCCAAGGGTTGGCCTGCTTTCATGATTCAAGAAGGTTCCTGTGGCGCCAAGTTCCCAATAGGACCCCTGAAACCCTGAAGGCAGGCAACCTCCCACAAACCCAGGCTCTAGTTGACTAGGCCCAACCAGGCCAACTACTACACACCCCAGCTTTGTTCCACCCTGCACCAGGCCAGCTCCCACATCCCCAGACCCCATAGACCTAGAGTAGAGGTTGGTCCCCACAGAGTAGACTTTCTGCTTATCTCAGAACCATATCTTCTTCAGCAGAACACATCTTCAGGCTGGGCCCCCAAACACTCAGGTTATGGACTGACTGGGAGACCCCAAGCTCCAGGTTCCCCCAGCGCCATGCCAGCCACAATTACTCCAGCCTACAGTCAAAATCCTATGAAATCAGGTTCCCAGAACATCCCAACACCAATCCAGACCCTGTAAACCTAGATGCCAGGCCCAACCCATTGGTTCCTTGTGCCTGGCTGCCCTCTGTTGATCTAAGACAGTGATGGTGAACCTTTTGAGCTCGGCGTGTCAGCATTTTGAAAAACCCTAACTTAACTCTGGTGCCGTGTCACATATAGAAGTTTTTTGATATTTGCAACCATAGTAAAACAAAGACTTATACTTTTGATCTTTATTTTATATATTTAAATGCCATTTAACAAAGAAAAATCAACCAACAAATGAGTTCGCGTGTCACCTCTGACACACGTGTCATAGGTTCGCCATCACTGATCTAGGACCTATGTCTGCACATGCAGACCCAAGTCCCAGGCCAGTCACCTCAGACTCAAGGGCCTGACTCACCCCAATGATCCTAGGCTCCAGGTCTACCCCTGCAGAGTCAGGCACTAGGCTGGTCCTTAGCACCAAGCACCAAGACTGCCACCTTCTGACCAGACACCAGACTTGTCATCCAAAGACTCCAGCAGGAAGCCTGCTTTCAGACATCACCAACTTGTCCTTCCAGAATCCCTGGATAGGCTGACAGGTGAAGGGCTTTGACTGCGCAAGCCAATCTAAAATGGGAAATGCACCTACTTTCTTAAAGGTACAGATACCATCCCAAGGCCATAAGGATCATGAGCTGAGAGTACCGTACCACTTAGACCTGCCTTATAAGAAATGCTGAAAGGTGTTCTTTAAGAAGAAATGAAAGGAGTCTAATTAGTAACACAACAACATGAAAGTGTAAAGCATATTAGTAAAGCTAAATATTTAGACAAATTCAGAATAATCTAATCCTGTAGTATGATGGTGCATTAATCACTTAAGTCTAGTATAGAGATTAGAGGACAAGTGTTCAAAGCAACTAAAGCTATAATTAGTTGATGGATACACAGTATAAAGAAGGTATATTGTGACATCAAAACATAAAATATGGGGAGAGGAATAAAAAGGTAGAGTTTTTCTACATGATTGAAGTTAAGTTGTTATCAGCTTAAAATAGATTTATATTTATAGAATGTTTTTTGTAAGTCTCATGGTAACCACAAAAACAAAAGCTACAGTAGGTACACAAAAGAAAACAGAAGGGAATCAAAACATAGCACTATAGAAAATAATCAATTCACAAAGAAATACAGCAAGAGAGGAAGAAAAGAACAAGGGAACTGCAAAACAGCCAGAAAACAGAAAGATGGCATTATAACTTCTTACCTATTAATAATTACTCTAAAGATAATTGGATTAAATTCTCCAATCAAAAGATGCAGAGTGGCTGAATGGATTTTGAAATATGACCCAACTATATGCTGTCTACTAGAAAAAGACTCATTTCAGCTTTAAAGACACACGCAGTCACAAAGTAAAGGAATGGAAAAAGATAATCAAAGCAAATGGAAACCAAAAGAGATTCAGGGTAGCTACACTTATATCAGGCAAAATAGACTTTAAGGCAAAGCAGTAACAGGAGACAAAGATAATCATTATATCTTAATAATGGGGTCAATTTATTAACAGGACATAATCATTGTAAATAAATATTGTGGTAATCATTCCATAATATATAAATATTTCAAATCATCATATTGTATGCCTTAAACTTACACATGATACATGTCAATATCTGAATAAAAGTTGAGGAAAACAAGGATAAGAGAAACTAAAAAGTACTTGTTTTCCATCATTTACTGTCCTCCTTAAGCCTAACATTGATACTCAGCAATACATAAAACATCTTTTCCTTTCATGAATTAAAAGAAATCTTTGCCAAACATATAGCATTGGTTTTGACCCCTGTTGGTGATGCAAAAGGACATAAAACATGATACCTTTCATCAAGAAGTTTTCAATAATCTTGAGAAGGAAAAAATAACCCATAGAACAATTAAGGAAATTATTACAGTTGCAAATAACCTCAACTGAAATATATGGTTTTGATTCCAAGGGCAAGAAATAATCAAATAAGGAAATGCGTAGCATATGTTACATATGCTACTCATTTCCTTATTTGGTTTGATTATTATGAAATTTTTTCAGAGAAATTATATTTGAGTTCAGACAGGAAAAAATAGGTATGCTATTTTATAGTGAGAATAATGTGGAGAAAAAGAAGCAAATAATTTTTATTTGTGAAAATTATGAGGCACTTCTGGCGCATCGTGTACCACATCGAGATCAGTGGCGTCGAGGACATGGTCCTTGAGCAGCTGCCAGACCCGTAGCGCAAGCCATGCGTGGTCCTGCGGTTCCTGTGCTCTGAGCCGCAGTCCCGCTGGCCTGCAGTGGGGATGTCCATGCTTCTGTGTTCCTTTTTACCAGCCCTGTTGTTCTGTCTGCCACCCCGCCAGAGGGCGCGGACAGCAGGGGAAGAGCCTGCCCAGGGCTGGAGGGAACCTGCCTGCAGACCCCTTGGCCAGCCTCCCAGGCAGATTGGCCCGGCAGAGAGCGCGGCTCCAAGTGCCCAGGCCTTACCTGTCCCTGGTTCTCTGAGCTGCCTGCTGGTTTGTGGCCGCGCGCTCTCTCTGTGTCCCTCCCTCCCCAGTCACTCATGTTCTGTGCTACCCACGGGGATACTTCTCGTTCTCCTTCCTCAGCTCTGTGCGCCTCTGGCTGCCAGGCAGCGAGTCCTACACGCCTGAGCCCAGGCCAGGCCCTGCGCCCCTGAGTCAACTCTCTCATGGCGTGTGCCTGCTCACCGCCATGCCTGCAGAGTCCCACCTGCCACACAGGTTCACTCGCAGCTCACGGGACGGCCTGGAGGTGCCGGGCTCCGTGCTCAGCACTCGGAAGCTTGCGGGTCAAGTGTCCACAGCCCCTGACCTCGCCAGAGGCCAGGCAGGCGAGCCCCCCTGTAGGACAGAGGTCAGGAGTCCCCCCTTTTATAGGTACCCACACCCCTGGATGTTAATGAGGTTGTATGTAGCATGAACACTTTGTAATATTGATCGATTAAATGTAAGACAACTCAAACAACAACAACAAAAAGAGCTCCAGCAGGTTCGGGGGGTGGTAGTACTGGTGGAGGATGGCCTGGCTGAGCTGGGCACCTCTGGCCCAGGAGGGGATGGGCTTCCGGGGATGCGACTCATCATCGGTGGAGTCATCGCTGTTCAGGTCCATCCCGTAGTTGTCCGGGTTGATCTTGGGGGGAGCCCTATGCCCCTGTGGCGTCATTTGATAGGAGGTACAAGCTGGAGACTGCAGGTCCACGGTCGTGTTCAGGCCTTTGCTGGCCGCGGCAGCCTCCCTGGCTTTCTTCTCCTGCTCCTCCTGCAGTATTATTTATATCTCTTCCAACATTACTTATATCAAACTAGAGGCTTGGTGCATGAAATTCATGCACTGTGGGGGGTGAGGGGGTGGTCTCAGCCTGGCCTGAGCCCTCTGGCAGTCTGGGAGCCCTCTGGGGATGTCCAACTGCAGGGAGCAGACCTAAGCCGGCAGTTGGACATCCTTAGTGCTTCCGCGGAGTTGGGAGAGGCTCCCGCCACCACCGTTGTGCTCACCACTCGTGAGCCCAGCTTCTGGGCTTCTGGCTGAGCGGCAAACCCCCTGTAGGAGTGCACTGACCAGTAGGGGGCAACTCCTGTGTTGAGTGTCTGCCCCCTGGTGGTCAGTGCGCATCATAGCGACCAGTCCTTCCACCGTTTGGTCAATTTGCATATTAGCCTTTTATTATATAGGATAAGACACAAAATCCATCTTTCCTTTTGTACTGGACTTTGTGTTTGCCCTGCCTAGACCCCCTTTATGAGGCACACGATGTGCCCTGGGCTAGTGATGCTAGCACCTATCTGTTCCCAGCTACCCTTTCTCTAGAATCACACATGGCCCAATAGGAGCTGCCCTCTGGGAGTTTATGTGCTCTTCACCTGTGAGTGGCTCAACGGTATTAACTATTAGAATCCAGGTATAAAAATACCACCTCTTTACCTTGGGGTATGACTAGCTCTGCAACAAATCATGCTCCAAAGCTTCTTGGGAGCTAAAGATGAACAAGGCTCCAGCAAAGACCACATCCCTTATCTGCTCCTTCCTCTGCCCTATGCTGCTTCCTTTCTTCTGAGGACACTCCTTAAATAAACCATGCCATGTGAATTGCAGTCTCCTAGTCTGCTTTCAGGAAATCAGACCTATGACCCTGAGAAGTAGTCTTCAAATATTTCTCAGTTAATCTCTTTCTTGGCATTTACATAGTCCTATTTCATGCCAAATGAACTCTACATAAACTCCTTTTTGCAGTGCTCATCTTTTGTGCATTTTCTAAAGTTGCACCATTTTTTCAGGGCTATCTTTGTAAAATATGACAGGCAGAGCATTGTAGTTGTTAATATATTACTTCTGTAGCCAGACTGCCTGGGATTGAATTCTATTTTCACAATGTATAAATTAAATGGTGAATGTCTTAATATCTCCAATTTCTTATTTTTCTATTTTCTTAGAAAAAATAAAGAAAATAAGGATTTCCTTCCCTTTCAGGCCAAAACTTCTCACCAGATATCCCAGTGGCATTTCACTATGCCCTAAATTAACTCAAAGTATTCCCTGTGAGGTTTTCTTTCATTTATACTTCCCTGATTCTAATTCATGTACCACAAATACATTGAATTTTTCAGAGTAGTACTATAAAAGTATTATTTATGTCTCCTCCAACATTACTTATATCAAATAAGATATAAGTAATCAGAACCTGACAAATTCAATACAGTAAGTGTTAACTAACATTATTATTATTATTATTGACTTAATTATGTCACTCCCTTCTTCAAGAACTTACATGAGTTTCCCATTATACACATAATTTCAAATACAAACATCTCTACTGGTTTTCAAGATCTATCATAATCACTTTTGTCCTACTTTTACAAGTTGATTTTGCAGTATTTTCTACAAACTACTCTACTTTCACTAAGCTAGGATTCCAGACACAAGGCTAGATTTAAAACTACCATAATAGTAACAATTAAGGCCATGGTTAGAAATGATTCTGAAACAATGAGTGTTAAGGCAAATATGTAGAATCCTCATTCAAACCTTAGAGCAACGAAAGGGTCAAGAATAAGAGTAGGAAGAGAAGTCAGTGAATCAGAGGTAAGCTGAGATAAGAAAGTCTGCACTCCCCTCGCTAAAATGGAGACTTAAAGATGGACTGGGAGGTCAACAATGTCAAGTACCACAATAAATTGGAGTGGACTAAGAAAGTTTAATAGATTTTGAAGGAAATACATTTATGGTGACTTCAATAAGAGATTTTCCAGAGTGGCTACATTAATCCACTTATATATGCATTTTTGGCTCCTGCTTTTCTTGAATTAATAGGAGCTATATATGCACATATAAAGATATTACTTTCTGTTTTTCATTACATCACTCTTCTAATATCTAATGCAAATTTTATGTTCACTAAATCTAAATGCATTATAAAGTTTTCTGCACTTCTCTTACTGAGTTAGCAGTATTTTGTACGTTACAGTTTTGGAGATTTTATGTAATTATTTAAGGTTGAATTATCTAGGTCTCATAATAATTTTCTTTATATGGATGTGGCCCTGTTATAAAGCAAGACTATATGTGTAAGATTAAAACGGTTAATTTTTTCTCAATATATCTCTTATGCACTAGGAGAGATAAATATCCCTCTGGTTTATTACAGTTTGTTTTCATATTACATAATGTTATATTTTGTTCTTTTGATAAAACTGATCATTTGACACTGATTTATATAATTGGTATATAATAAATATTTGAAGATAACTATGTCTTATTTTTTTTTGAAGTTACCATACATAATGCTAAAAAAATCCCTGTAAAATATGTAGGAATCAACCAAGAGTACACAAGACAATTTTAGGGAAAACATTAAAATATAAATCAGACAAAATATCCTGAATACCTGGAGAGATATTTTATATTTTTGTATTGGATAATGTTACGTGGTAAATGTACCAACTATCTATTTATATAAAAACCCTGGGTGTAACGCATCACAACCAAGGCTCGACCAACCTGAAGGAAGTCAGCCCTGCAGGGTTGTCTGGTAAACGGCTGTGCCCTCCCCAAACTGTTTTCCACGAAGGCGAGGTTTCAGGCAGGAACTGGCCCTAGGAGCGTGGATGCACTGAGTCCTGGGTCCTCTTAGCAACAACTGCGCCCTCCCTGAGCTGTTTCCCAGCTGGGTGAGGTTTGAGGCAGGAACCGTCCCTCGGAGCATGGAGGCATATCTTTTTTTTTTTTAAATATATATTTTATTGATTTTTGACAGAGAGGAAAGGAGAGGAACAGAGAGCTAGAAACATCGATCAGCTGCCTCCAGCACACCCCCCACTGGGGATGTGCCCGCAACCAAGGTACATGCCCTTGACCGGAATCGAACCTGGGACCTTTCAGTTCGAAGGCTGACGCTCTATCCACTGAGCCAAACCGGTGAGGGCAAGAGGCATATCTTTATAAAGTTTTAATACATTATATTAGAGGTCTTGCTGGTACTGTTTACCCACAGCATTTACAGGAATTGCTGCAAATTTACTTCTTAGTGGAAGCACTTCATTCCCAATATAAATTACCCATTCCATTAAATGAAACTTCAATTTCTAGAATCGATATAAACAGTGAAGTTGTTAAAACTATTAAAAAGGCCAAACTTCTCATTATTGATGAATGCACCATGGCATCCAGTCATGCTATAAATGCCATAGACCAGTGATGGCGAACCTTTTGAGCTCGGTGTGTCAGCATTTTGAAAAATCCTAACTTAACTCTGGTGACATGTCACATATAGAAATTTTTTGATATTTGCAACCATTGTAAAACAAAGATTTATATTTTTGATATTTATTTTATATATTTAAATGCCATTTAACAAAGAAAAATCAACCAAAAAAATGAGTTCACATGTCATCTCTGACATGCGTGTCATAGATTTGCCATCACTGCCATAGACAGATTACTAAGAGAAATTATGAATTTGAATGTTGTATTTGGTGGGAAAGTTCTCCTTCTTGGAGGGGATTTTTGACAATGTCTCGGTATTGTACCGCATGCTATGCAATTGGCCATAGTATAAACGAGTTTAAAGTACTGCAATGTTTGGGGATGTTTCAGAAAGTTGTCTCTTACAACAAATATGAGATCAGATGATTCTGCTTATAGTGGATGGTTAGTAAAACTTGGAGATGGCAAACTTGATAGCAGTTTTCATTTAGGAATGGATATTATTGAAATCCCCTATGAAATAATTTGTAATGGATCTATTATTGAAGCTACCTTTGGAAATACTATATCTATAGATAATATTAAAAATACATCTAAACGTACAATTCTTTGTCCAAAAAATGGGCACGTTCAAAAATTAAATGAAGAAATTTTGGATATACTCAATGGAGATTTTCATACATATTTGAGTGATGATTCCACTGATTCAACAGATGATGCTGAAAAGGACAATTTTCCCATCTAATTTCTTAATAGTATTACTCCTTCGGGAATGCGTGTCATAAATTAAAATTGAAAGTGGGTGCAATCATCATGCTATTGAAAAATCTCAATAGTAAATGGGGTCTTTGTAATGGTACCAGATTTATTATCAAAAGATTACTACCTAACATTATCAAAGCTGAAGTATTAACAGGATCTACAGAGGGAGAGGTTGTTCTGATTCCAAGAATTAATTTGTCCCCATCTGACACTGGCCTCCCATTTAAATTGATTCAACAACGGTTTCCTGTGGTGCCAGCATTTGTGATGACTATTGATAAATCACAAGGACAAACTCTAGACAAAGTAGGCATATTCCTACCTGAACCCGTTTTTGCACATGGTCAGTTATATGTTGTTTTCTCTCGAGTTTGAAGAGCATGTGAGGTTACAGTTAAAGTTCTAAGTACTGCATCACAAGGGAAATTAGTCAAGCACTCTGAAAGTGTTTTCACTCTTAATGTGGTGTACAGGGAGATATTAGAATAAGTTTAATCACTTTATCAGTCATTGTTTGCATCACTTGTTTTTATATCATGTTTTTGTTGTTTTCATATCATGTTTTTGTCGTTTTTATATCATGTCTCTGTTGTTGTTATATCCTTTTGTTACTGTTTATTAATAAATTTATATATTATCTTCAAAAAAAAAGCATTCGATAAAGTTTTTTTCCCCCATACGTTCTACATTAGGAAAATTAAGAATGAGGTG